ATGAGATTAATTTGGAAGTGATCCAGTTAAGAATTACATCTTGTGGAGGTGGAAAAACATCTGTTAAATCAGAATATGTAGCCATAAATCATAGGATGCTCTTCAGCCTGCTGATTAAAACCAACAAAACCCCCTTTTTATCCTTTTTCTATAATGAATATACTTTCCTGTGCTGGGAATTCCTGAAGTGGATGGCCAGAGGTTGGATCAGATGTCAGTGTGAGATGGTCAGGAGATCATTTCCAAGCTGAAGATTCACACACTGAAGCTCTAGTCATGCAGTTCAGGCTATTTAAAATGTAACCCCTTTTCTCTCAGGAGGACTTTATCAAAGGATATTGCTCAATATTTGTGACAGTTCAGCTTGTGCTTTCTGCTGGTGTCCTTGCACTGTGTGTAATACAGATCTTACTCACAGGGACAGTGAGAAAATCAGGAGTAGTAAAGTCACCCCTCATACTGAGCTGTGCCAAGTCAGTGTTAAGAACTGAAAAATCTGCTGCCTTCTGAAATTATTCATTATCTTAAAGATTCCTGACAGCAAACTGATTGGTTTATTCTCCAAAGCAGCACAGCATCCAGACCTTCTGTGCTGTCAGTCACTCAGGACAGGCTCACCATGCAAAGCAAGGTGATTACAGTTATTAGCTTTGTTGTGAATCTGCCTCAGTTTGTGCCTGCCCTCCCTGCTGAGGGTTGCTGGGGATGGGAGTTTGCACTTCCCTTTAAAATTACTGTGTTTGCCCTCCTCACTTTTTTGGAATAAGCATTGGATGTGTGTTTATCTGCTGATGTAGTTGATAAAACTGCTAATGTTTTTTGTTATTCTTTCAGTAAGTGGGCAGCCCCACCTTCCCTCCTAAACTTGTGCTCTCTCTTTGCAGACTGCCGTTGATGTTTTTAAGAGGATAATTTTGGAGGCAGAAAAAATCGATGGGGCAGCTTCACAAGGGAAGTCTTCATGCTCAGTAATGTAATTCCACTGCAGAACCTGAAAACACTGGGAATACATTCTACCTGAAGAAGCAAAACTGCCCATTATCTTTAAGGATAAACTATGCTTCTTTTTTTTTTTTTCCTTTTTTTTTTTTCCAATTTTTTTTTCTTCTGTTAACCTGAAAGATAAACAGTTGGTTTGGAGCCTTTCCCTTCAGATTATGTTAAACTCTGACTCCTGTGCAAATGGCTTCACTTCCATTTTCAAATTTTAAGCAATCATATTTTCAATTTATATATTGTATTTCTTAATATTATGACCAAGAATTTTACTGGCATTAATTTTTCAGTGTAGTTTGTTGGTTAGAATAATCATCAAAATGATGCATATTGTTACACTACTATTAACTAGGCTTGGATATCAGTGTTTCTTTGTGTTAAATGTATACTTGTAAATAAAATAGCTGCAAACCTTAAATGTTCTGTTTATAATTTTTCGTTGATTACTCCATATCAACTTTTTTTTTTGTTTGTTTTTTTTGTGAAAAATGTTCACCTGCTGACCTTAAGAGAAGGCCTGAGATCCTTGGAGCCAATGGATTGTTTGACTATTGCTCGGGAAGTTGTTTGCGAGTGATCCCAAACGTTTTTGCTACTGGAACTCCAGGCTGGCCAAGCAGCTCTGCTTTGCTTTGTGCCCAGTCACGGGAAGGAGGGACAAGTGCCAGCTTTATTTGGAAGGGAAATGCTGGGTTTCAGTCAGAACCTGCTCTGTGTTTTCCTCTGTATCTGCTGAGTGAGGGGTGCGCAGAGCCGCCCCGAGTTCCTGCGCTACGGACTGTGCACGCAGGCTTGTGGCTGGCAGTGCTGTCAGGATGGAGTGGATTTATCCAGGTCACAAGCTTAGACTTGTTAAGAGAACAAAAATGTCATTTAAAATAAATTGCACGTCCTGAACAAATCGGTGTGGGCTGTTTGTTGTGAATTCCTGTGCTCCTGGTAGAGGTGAGCGGCCTCCTGATGCCTGGCTGTGCAGAGTTCAGGGTTCCTGCACAGCTTTCCTGACCAGCTCCAGGCTTTTCCTTGCCTTTTGGACTGGGGGCTTAGCAAGCTGTAATCTTGGAAATAAACTCCTTACAACTATATATTTTAAAAAATTTAGTTGACCTACTTTGTATTGAAAAACAGAACAAAACCCAAAACAGTAAAAACAAACAAGGCTGATTTGAGGAACAGCTAATTAAATCAAGTGTTTTGCCTGCACTTTTGTGTTCATTTGAAAACTTAAATTTCTGACACGAGTAGATAGGAAGGGAAAGTTGGAGTGTATTTGCAACCAGAATTAGCTTTTACCTTCCAGTCTGTGCTAAAAGATACAAACGAAGAATTTTGTTCCTTTATTTTCTTTGTGCAGTTGTTCCCTCATGTGAGATAAAGATGGTCTAAACCTCTCAACAGTGTATGTTGGTAAGCTTGGCATTTTCTTTGGTCATCATGAGAGCAACTGGTTAAAAAAAAAATGCCCTTTTTCTCCACTTAGGATATTTCCAGTGTTTCTGAAAGCCCATTTTCCATGAATTCACACACCTTGTGCCAAGCACGGGTTGAGTAGCTGGATGATTGTTCTGCATGATGGATTGCTGGAGTTCAGCTGAGAGCCTGTTCAGCTAAACAAGCCCATGCTTTTATTTTGGACCCAGACTGAGCTGGGGCTGTTCCCTGCCCAAGAACCTGCAGCATTGCAGTGAGGGCTGCTTGGCTGGGAGTGGAATGGCTGAGGATGCAGAGCATGGCCTGAGGAGCTCAGCACAGGGTGTGTCAGTCAGTGTGATCCTTCAGTGCCCATCCCCAGGACTGATGAGCTCTTGCATGACCCGAGGCTGTGACATTGCATGACGTGTTCTGCATCACAGGGTGGAAATTCTGGAGTAACACAAACCTCAGTGACCACATCTGCTCCATTTTTTGTCAAACTGGCTGCAGGTGTACTGGTATCAGTCTAACCCCCATAATAGTTGCTGCATTGCCTCTTGAGGTGTGCCAGCTGCTAAGAGTTTTAAAGGAGATGTATGAGGGCATGTGCAATTTAACTGGAGAACTGAGGTCCTGCCTTCCAGTGATGTGGCTTTCCAGAAGGGCTTAAAGACAAGTGCAGATTCTCTGGATGATTTGTGGTGGGAGTTTCTGAGACTTGAAAAGGACATTTCACAAGGCCATGTATTGATAGGACTTCAAACTGCATGAGAGTAGGTTTGGAATAATTAATAGGAAGAAATTCTTCAGGGCAGTGATAGAATGGAACAGGCTGCCCAGAGTTTATGGATGCTCCACAAAGCCAGGCTGGATGGGGCTCTGAGCAAGCTGGTCTAACAGAAGGTGAACCTGCCTGTGGCAGGGGGTTGGAACTGGATGGGCTTTTGGGTCCCTCCCAGGCCAAACAATTCAAAACTGAGAGATGTGTAGTGCTCTTGCATTTTCCATAATAGCTGAAAAATTGAACTCATCCACATATGTTATTCCCTTCTTCCTCTTTCTGCTTCATCCAGTAAAAAATGGAAATTATTCCACTGACCCAAGCCTTTCTCTGCTAATAAGATCTAAAGACCAGCCATGTGCAATAGTCTTGCAGTTCTGCTGAAATGTGTAGTCAAGTGTGATCAGTGAATTCCTCCCCATCCTTGGCTGTACAAATTTCACTTGGTTTCTCAGGGTGGCACCTTCAGCAGCTGGAGTCTAACAGAGGCTGGGGCAGCCTTGTGCTTCCTGAGCTGGCACAGGTTGGGTTCTTCACCCTGACAGCCCTGAAGGTGGGGATGGGCAATTGGGGAAGTCCTGTTATGTACAGAAACAAAATCCTGCTTTGTAGCAAACTGCTGCTTTCCTGGAGTTGATGAATTTTTACAGCCTTGTTAAAGTTCTCTGATCCAGGCTAGGAAAAGAATTAACTAGACTTAATAACTTTATTAAGGGATGATCATTTGCAAAGGTGAAAGTGCAAAGATCCTTTTCCTGTTGAGGAAATGAGCAGAATTTTTTCATGTGAAGTTGAACACAGTCCACCAGTTCCCACCTTGGACATACTCAAAAGCCCCTGGGAGATGGTCCCAAGCAACCAGCTCTGGGTGACCCTGTTTGAACAGGGCTTGGGCCAGGGGTCCTCCAGGGGTCCCTGCTGACCCCAGCCATTCTGTGGTTATGTGAATATTGACTACTCTTAAGTCATGTTAAGTTAGCACTGACTTTTGTGGATTTATAATGCCCTGGTTTGGAAGTGACTCCTGCCTTGCTTGTGCCCCTGTCCAGCTCCTGGCTTTGCTGTGTGAATAATCCTGAGAGCCAGGGCTGGAGCTGCCCATCTCCCAGCCTGCAATGCTGAAGGTGAGCAGGGCAGTGGGGCAGGTGAGCTCAGCAGGGCAGGATGGACTGCAGGTGCTAAATGGAGCTTTCTTTTTCCTGATGTTTCCATGCCTAATGAAGTTTATTCCTGCCTGGTTAACTCCATGAAAGGGGAGTCATCTATGGGTCTGTAGTGCTTCTTCCCAGCTTCTGTAGAGGTTGGTGGGTCCATGCTGGAGAAGAAAAAAGCTGGAAAAGTGTTCCCATTGTTCCTGTTCAACTGCAGAAGCTCTGCTGTTGTATCTGGACGAGGTGCAGATGTTCCAGGTGCTGTGTGAGCGTGGTGCAGGTGCTGATGATGTGATGTGCCCAGGCTTGCTGGGCTTACTCTGCTAATTAACACTGCTGAGCCTCTCCAGAAGGAGAAATCAACGGCTTCTAATTAGCCCTTATGTAATCAGGACTGCTCATCTTCAGAGCCTTTTGCTAATACTGGGTAATCTTCACAACTTCATCTAAAAAGTCAGCATTGCTCCCCTTCAAAAATTGGGGAGGGGGAGTGAAAACCTTTGCACAGATCCCTTCAGCTATTGGGAGTATGCCGAAATGTGGCTAAACTGGTGTGGGTGATGGGTGTCCTTAGCATCCAACTTTTCCTTGGATATCCTGTTTCCCTACTGGAACTTTTACTTTCTTGAAATACAGTGAAAACTGAAAGGATTTCACCCCCCAGGCTTTCTGATGCTTTCCAAACTGAAACCCAGGGCCCATCTCAGTCAGATGCTGAGGAGTGTGATGATCCCTGGACAGAATATTACTGAAAACAAGACTGCAGCTGGCTAAACCTGACCAGCAGGTCTCCTCTCCAAGGTAAGAAGCTGTTTTTCTAGTAGGAATCTGGCCAGATCCATCATTTTGTAGCAGGATTTGCTGAGTGTGAAGTTATTTGGAGTCCTTACCCCACATAGGCAACATGAGGTGTTGCTGACATGGGGTGGGTCAGGGTGTGAGATGACCACCCTTGGTAGAAAGAGATATTCCTGAGATTTTTATGTTGTGGTGCTTCCATGCTGAGGGCAAAACATTGAACCCCAAACCATTGCCTGGGAGCTGATTCCCATTTCCAGCAGCAGTGATGTGTTCTGCCAGTGAGGGTGTGGGTGAATGTTTTGCAGAGATGTTCTGCAGTCAGTGTGCCCAGGCCCCTGGCAGCCCTGGGAGGCAGCACGTGCTGCTCTCAGGTACAGGGGCTGGTTCATCACCAGCAGAAATTGGGACTTTGGGCTGAGGAGAGCCAGCCTTTGACAGGCAGTGTGTATTTCACACAGAAACTCCACTCTGAGTCAAGAGATGGTTTCTCACTCAGGTCTGTTGCTGTTCTGAGGAGTCCCACAGGATGTGTTCATTATTCCCAGCAAGGCAAAAGTTTTTCAGTGAGAAGGAGCAAGACTCATGGTTGTTTCACATTTAATGAGCTCAAAGTATCTCCTACTGAGGTATGTGAAAAATCTATGAGCTTTTCAAAGCAAGATGGTGTTTTGAAAGCCCTGAGCTAGGGATTTTCCATGCCAGGTCTTAATACTGCTTTGTAAATATTCCAGGCTCCTCCAGAAGCTGAAGTGTGGCCCTTTCAGAGGATGTGGAGCAACTCCTTGGCTGCTGCTCCATTGCTGGTGATTTGTGTGGGGCTGTGCCAGCTGTAGGAGGAACCTGTGAGCAGAATGCTCATCCTCTGACAGGGAATGTTCCATTCGCGTAAGTGAGGTCACTCCCAAAGATTCACCTCCAGGAGGCACACCCTGCTCAGCTCCCTTGGCTCTGGCCTGGGCAATTTGGAGAGCAAATTGTCTCTCACCACTTCACTCCTCAGCCTTGTGGCAGCAAAGGCCTGGAGCTGCCCTTGTGGACATCAAACCCAATTCCTTCCTCTAAACCAAACCCACAGAAGAATCTCAGATTTTTGGGTTCTGGCTGTTGAAGCCAAATACTCAAACTTATAAGTTCATTTCCAGTGTTTCATCCTTTAAGCAGCCACAGTGGAGGAAATCTGCCCAAAACCCTTTTGCTGTGGGGCTCATGTTCAGATGGACCTGGGCACGAGCAGGAGGTGAGGCAGCCCCAGCATCCCTTGCCTGAAATGCTGTTATGGCCACAGGCTCCTCAGGCTGCTCTTTTCTCTCTTCCATTGGCAGCCTTTCCATCTTTGGCAAGGAGTTAAGGGGCTTTGTCCAGGAATTATTATTTGTCATTCTTCCATATTCTTTTTTCCCCATCATTTTGCTTTTTTCTAGAGATGGGTCCTTTCTTATTTCATATCTTTGACATGGTTTGTCAAAGAAATGAGGATAAAATTGCCACAACCTCTTTCCATCTCTCCTGAAATAGCTTTTGAACCTGTTGGACAATTTCTAAGAAATCTGACAGCTGGGCACAAGTCTCAGATTCATCAAGCTGTTGCGCATGGAATTAAATGTCGCATCTTGAGAGAAACAGGAAAATCCCCTCATGAGACAGAGCCAGAGGAAACCAGGCTTTTGTGGTTCCATAAAAATCTCCTGAGGCACAGTTTGCTTTCCTGGGTGCTTTGGGGCAGTTTGCCATGGATGCCATGGGTTTTCCCCTCCAGGCACCAACAGCTCATGGCCAATGCAGAGAGCCTGAGCTGTGACCCCAAAGGGTGGAGAGTTGGGTCCCAAAGCCAGCAATGGTCCTTGTGCTCCCAGCCATGGCTCAGAAGAGGGACATTGTCCTTGTGCTCCCAGCCATGGCTCAGAAGAGGGACACTTCTCCTTCCCTCCCAGGGCACTGACTGCCACAGGGAGTGGCTGGTTTTGGGTTCTTGCGTTTTTGGGAACACCACTGATGCCCCCTGTCTTGGCTGCAGCTCTCCCAAGTGGGACTTTTCTGCTGTTACTTTTCCCTGCACCATCTGGTGATTAATCTAACGCCTTAAAATTAGCACTGGTGTTTCAAAGAGGTTTTGGGCAGGTTTTTTTTTTTAATTTTTAATTTTTCTTTTTTTATATTTTTATTTTTCATTGTTTCCTGTCTCACAGCACAACACACACGTGTGAGCCGTGTTCCTGCAGGTTTGCCTGCATCAGCTGGAGGATGTGTTTCCTCTCCCAGCACAAAGTGCCACCTCTCTCCTTCATCCCAGTCAGTGACATCCTCCAGCTCAGCCTACGTGTGTCTGCGCACGTGCTCATTAACTTTTACATCTTAATTGAGAGGGTGGCACACGTTTGAGCCCTAATAATGACATCCCTTCTGCTGAAGCAGTCTTTAATCTCGAGATGAAGCAGTGAGCCAAAGCAGCAGAGTGGGGCTGCTTGCACACCTGAGGATGGGAGCAGCCTGCCAAGAAAGGAGGTTTCAGGGTTTGATTTGAAACATGTGCCTGATGGTCCAGGGAGGGAGGCAGCAGCAAGGGGAGGTGATGGAGGGCCAGTGAGTGAGGAGGAGGATTCAGTGAGCAGGAGCTGTGTGTGAAGTCTCTTGCAGAGCTATTAAAAAGCATAAAAGCACAAATCTCCTTTTAATGTGGCCCCTTGGTACGTCTCTGCATGCTGCTCCATGGGCCACCCCCACACATCTGCCTTTACCTCTTCCTAGCCTGGCTCATTAGTATGAGCTGATGGGATTTATGGGCTGGGAGCTTCCTTTGCTGTTTGTCCTGGGAATATCACAGTTAAAATCTCTGGATATCCTTATAACACAGATGAGGACTTTATGGTCCCATATAGCTGCAATGTAAGTTACTTTAATAGGGTAAATTTATGGTCCAAAAGTTCCTCTAATCCTGACTTACAGCTGTGAGTCAGGGCTTCAGTGCTGGAAGATCAAAACATTCCTGAGAACGATGCTTGTGAGTAACATCAGTGGGTTTGGGAGCCCAACCTCTGTGCTTTGGAGGGGATCAGGTCCTTGGATTTTGGAGGTGCCATTTAGATGGGTTCAAAGGTTGCATGACAAACCACTGGTTTGACAGATGGAGTGCAATGTTTGTTGGTGGGTAGTCTTCAAGGGCACCCTCTCTTGGCTGCCACACTGCAGGAGGTGGGAAGAAGCTGGGAAAAAGCAAACCATTTCTCTGACATAGAGAAATGATGTGCCATGCTTAGAGATGCTGCTGAGGAAAAAGGACAGGGAAAAAAAAAAAAGAAAAAATAGGGGAAAACAGAGGGGGGAAGTAAACACGAAATAGAAATAAAGATGAAAAAAGTGTTTAAAAAAAAAAAGAAGTCCTCCAAAAAGGAGCAGTAAATGTGCGCTGCTAATCGACCAAAGCCCTGCCAAGCAAATCTTTTGTCAGATCATCTGCCCAAAATCAAAAGTCCGGACTCAGCAGCCCCGTTACCGGCGGTTCTGCCTACGAAGCAGGACGGGCAAAGCCCCGGTTCCCGTGGCTTTGTTACAGAGCCCCCGCCGGGCCCCCCCCGGCCGCCCCTATATAGCGCCCTGTCCAATGGTCTGTCCATCGCAGCTCTGCTGGCTCCCGCTCTTGCTCTGGGATAGCAGCCAGCAGAAAATGTCCCAATACTCAGGAAAAGTAAGTAACGACCCGACCCTTCCCTTTCAGCCTGGGGCTGGAGCATTCTCCGGGTGGAGGATGAGGATGAGGATAACAGAGCCAGCAGTGGTGTGAGTGGTGATCCCGGGAGCAAATCTGGTAGCAGGGATGGGGAGGGTGTGGCAGAAGGAGCTGCGTTTCGGGAGCTGAATTTCCTGTTTAAACATTCCTGCTGGAAATATGTGTGAGTGAGCACGAGGCGGCGAGAAGTGTCATAAATGCGGGACGCGCTGCCTTCCCAGAAAAACAAATACGCTGCTTAGGAAAAAATGCCAGTGATGCTTTTGCTGGAAAGCAGCTAAAATAACCCAAACCACCCTGAAATGATGCATCTGCAAGAGATTCCCATCTGCTTGGAATGGGAATCCGGCTGTGTCCCTGCTCCTCAGTCCGGGCCCTTTCTCCTCCTCCCCCCAGATCACTTTCTACGAAGGCAGATGCTTCACGGGCAGGAAGCTGGACGTCTGTGGCAGCTGCAACAGCTTCCAGGACCAAGGTTTCCTCAACAGGGTCAACTCCATCTGTGTCCAGAGCGGGGCTTGGGTCTGCTTTGACCACCCCGACTTCCGAGGGCAGCAGTACATTCTGGAGCATGGAGAATATCCCGACTTCTACCGCTGGAACGGGCGCAGCGACCACCTGGGCTCCTGCCGCCCCATCGGCATGGTGAGTGGGATCTGCTGCTGTTGGCTCTCCCAGCTGGAGCACCTCTGGGTTTAGTTTATCCTGGTCACTGCAGCCACGTGAATAAGTGCCATAAAAATGTGTGTTCTTTAGGAATAGGCTGTCTCACTGAGCGGGAAGGAGTTTCCTGGGTTAGTCCCCATTCAGAGTGGTCTGTGCAGTGAGACAAAGTAGAAATTTTCCAAAGTAGAAATCCATTTTGATTTAAGTAGAATATACATCTCTGAGTTAAGTATGTAGCTTGCTGTGCAGTCTGGCTGCAAAAACCCTGGGCTCAGAGAAACTGCTTCAGAGAAAGACAGAGATAAGGGGAGGGGAGACAGAGAGTGACAGAGAGACAGAGACTGCTGTGAGAGCAGGTCAGCCTGACCTAAGAATTCTTTCTGATAAAGAACTAGCAGCAGATGTCACATGAAATTCATAAAAATGAATATGTATGAACCTATTGTGAATTTGCATGCGTATGTATTTGAGAGGGAGATAAAAAGAGACCTGATGTTCCCAGAAGTACACCTGTCATTTTAGGAGAATGATTCCCACATGCATCCAGTGCTGTAATAAACACACCAGCTTTACAACTTTCACAAAAGTTGTAGAGTTTTGTTTATCTCCCCAAAACAGCAGGACACAAAGCCGAGACAGTTTCCTGTGTCCTCAGACAGGAGGAAGATGCATCTTCCTCCTCTCACAGTGAAACACAGTGCCTTTAAGGGGATGAGATATTCATGTGGTTTTCCAGATGAGATGGCAAGGTCCTGCTGGTACCATGTGCATTTCCTTTTAATGTAAGCTGCTGTGAGATGTTCATGGGGGAATCCAGAAGGAGATTCATTGCCCAAGGCAAGTTTGAGCTGCAGCTGCTCCATCTCCCCATGCACCCAAAGGGGGAGAGGGCAGCCCAAGGGCTTCCTAACCAGGCCATAGGGCTGCTCCTACCAAATTTTAGTTGAATTCTCTGCTGTTGCCAACCACCCTCCAACCCTGGTAATCCTAAACTAAACCCATTGTTTTCCCTTCCCTTACCAAGCTTTTAAAAGCACTGTCCAGAGGAAGGTTTTAAATGGGAAGATTAAAAAGTAGCAAAGAGAAATGAGTATGGGTTGGGTCTTCACATTGATTCTCGTACCACTGAGGGCCTCTGGGGCAATGATGAGCCCAGCTGGAGCTGCTGGGATTTCTCACTGGCCCTGAAACTGCTTTTGGCACAGCAGCAGGTCTGTTTCAGGTCTGTAACATCACTCCCAAAGCACCTCCATGATCCATATGTGGAGGATGCTCTGGCCCAGGCCCTGGACCTTGGCCAGCACAAGGATGTTCTCCTCCTTTCCTGGCCCAAGATGTTCCTGTGAGATGCCAGAGAGGGCCTGGAGGGGTTTGTGCAGTGCAGATTCCCTGAGGAATGTTTGCTCAGGCCCGGTGTCTGCCTGCCTGCTGAGGGTTTGGCATGGCAGCCCAGCTTCTTGTGTGCTGACGCTGTTTATTTGAAAAATGCCTTTAGGTATTCTTTGAATTTGGCTTAAAAATATCCTTTGAGTTGCTCTGTCCCACATAGCTCTGCCACAGGCTGCAGAGATGTCCCCAGAGTCATTTGTGACACATGACCATCGAGGGCTCACGCAGCAACGATGATGCTGGGGAAGTTTCCTTTTCTCCCCCCGTTTTTATTTTTCTAAAAGAAAGGCACAACACCTCTCACTAGGAACAGCAGCTATGCATGAAACTGGAGGCAATACAAGTTAGT